TCCTCCTCCTCCTCCTCCTCACTACACCCAGATTTTTGTTGTAATTGATTTGACACAAACAAAAGTAAACACTGATAGCATTATATACATTTTTTCGAATGTTCTGAAGATAAATTGGTAATATTGTGGACAGCCAATGTGAAGGTCCATTTTTAGAGCTTGTGTTGTCCGTCAGGCATCCTGGACAGCAGCAGCAACGAGAGGCCGGACATCAGCTCCCTGCAGAGACGCATTAAGGTACCACTTCCTCCAACTAACACAGTGCTTACCTTATTCACACCTTATTCTATATACTCTCATTTATCAACTGTCCTCAGAAATGTTCCACTACAGTGAAAGATTCCACACACACACAGAATCCCCAGGGAACAGGCTGCACTTGAAATATCAGGCCTGTCTTTGTGTCCCTTGCAGAAAGTGACCCATGACATGGACATGTGCTACGGCATGATGGGAAGTCTGTTCCGCAGTGGATCCCGACAGACGCTGTTTGCCTCGCAGGTGATGCGCTACGCTGACCTTTACGCCGCCTCCTTCATCAACCTGCTATACTACCCCTTCAGCTACCTGTTCAGGGCGGCCCACGTGCTGGTGAGGCTCTCAGGCTCTGCGTCCATCTGGGTTAATAGTCTAGTTGCCAGCTTAGTAAACCCGGAAATGTAGAGTACTCCAACGTTTTATGTTAGAAATGTATAGTAGGGTCCCCAGCTCATAGAAACTGCCGGATGCTAACCTGCATATGTATGGCAATTTGTACAATTAGCGTTAATTAGCATTAATGGCATTATAACCTTTGTGGACAATAGTTACAGATAAAGAGTTCAATATATCTGGAGTGGGATTGGGGGTGATTGAGGATGCTGAATGCATTTCTGACATTTTTAGGGTAACCAGAAAATGCTGATATAGGGCTGATTTTGATTACATTTTTGAAGATTACAGGGACTCTGGATCATTTGGATTGGACAGATTGCCTATTTATTTGAATTGTCCACAGTAGAGGTAATCATTTTCATCTTGTGCTCTCTATATCCAATGGTTGCAAAGCACTACTCGTGGTAGTAAACATCAGCCCACCAGCAGTACATACTACCACTTTCTGGTGGAAACTGCAATTTTTCTATCCTGAAAATGTCAGAAATGGATTCAACATACTTATTAACCTCCAAAACCACTCCAAAATGTCCAAATCAGCCAAGCCATTTTCACTATTGTCCACATAGGCTATAATGGTAATTAATGATACCTAACGCAATTTATGCTTTTGTATAAATTGCAGATAATCAACATATGTTGCTGGGGACCCGTGCTATACATTTCTAACATCAACTTTGGGGTAGTCAACCTTTCCGGGTTCACTAAGCTAGCAACTAGACTATAAGGTGAAACTCTCCCCCTCAGATGCCCCATGAGTCCACGGTGGAGCACACCCACGTCAGCGTCATGGACACCGAGTCTCCGCTGGCAACACGCAACCGGCACGATGTGGACCTCAGAGATATAGTGTGCAAACGGCACCAGCTGACTCGGTCCGTCAGTGAGATCCAGCCCCCCCACTTCTTCCCTCAGCCCCCACAGGAGATCACACACTGCCACGATGAGGATGATGACGAGGAGGAGGAGGAGGAGGAGGAGGAGGAGGAGGAGGAGCAGTAGAGGGGGGTGAAGCATGCCTCTGCATATGAGGCATGACATGGTCCCGTCTCTTCCCTGCAGCCTGCACCTGTCCACGGGGAGAGAAAGCTGTTATTCTAGATGCATGTCTGTTAGGGTGAGATGAAGGCGAAGCCATGGTGACATTAAAGTGAAAGTGTTCAGGAGTCCTGTATACATGCACACATTGTGCTGTAAACGTCTCTATGCTGCTTTCCCCTGCTCCACAGTGTTCTCTGTACAACATGCTGACCCTAACGCTGCTGAGACTGCTACCTCAGGCATTTTAGAGACCATGTTCAGAAGATAACTGATGATGCATGTGTCCTCATCTGATGCACAGCAGGTGTTTGGAACATGGACCTGGGAAATGTAGGAACTTATTAACAGCACATCCAAGGGTGACTTTTGACTTGAAGGGTTGTCATTTGGTTATTTGGCACAGCACATGGATCACAAACGGTTCCTCTCCATAAGAGTTGTGTGTGCAGCAGAAGGTTTTTAAAAGTGTGTTTTTAAAGGTGAGGTGGATGGGAGGCTGCTAACACGGTATCACTAACATGGCAGCGGCTTAGAGAAACTCCCCCTACTTATTTCTGCCATATCCACCAGAATGTAAATGAAGTCTGTCTGTATTACGTGTTTCTTTTAAAGGGTAGTGCAGATATTACACCCTGCTTTATTTATCTCACATAGTTGGAATGAGAATGAATGTTAAAGTATATTTTGAACATCTGAAATGAGAGGTATGAAAGCTTTTCAGATAACAAAACTAATTGCATTTTGACAACCTCATAAATGATTGAGAACGGTTCAAATTTATATTAAGACAAAATATATGAGTTCGTTATGATATAAGTCTAAATTGTGTTCTTCAGAGCTATGAGTCAAACATAGAGTTACTGTGATATTTAGGTTAGCCTGCTGCTTTCAACTGTTACTGTAGTGTGAGAACCACACACACTGTGTACATGATGACAGTGGTGTATTTCAGTGGGGTGTATGGTCATGTGTTACTGCCTTTGCTTTAGAGGAGCTGTGATGTGAAGTCCTCTCTGCTGCAGTATTGATCTTGGACGGTTAGGAGCTGCTGCTGAACACTGATGTGCATTCTATCTGCTTGGGCCGCATATTTCTTTATTTGTATTTGTATGTCCTGCTGAAAGCTGATTGTTAAACATGTCCAGCCCCGCTGCAGCTTGTAATGTTATTCCTGCTATTTGAGTATGGGAGCAATAGCAGACTGTTGAAACTCAAAGGTTTATTTTTCTCTATTCTGTTTGCTGTCAGCTTTGATAATCACACATACTGTGTAAAGTGAACCAAATGAATGTTGTTGTTTTTTTCCCAGCCATATTTAATGCATGCTGCATTTATTCAGTTTATTTGAATTTATGTTGTGAAGATGAAGACTGTTGAAGGCAGCGATGCTGCAGTTCAGATGCTGTAAGTGAGTCTGTTTTTAATAAAGGTTCTCAACTGATATTGTAGGTCTGTTTTTCTCTCAAGTTCCCACATCTGTCAATGAGTGAACGTAGCTAATGTCTTCTGGCCTAGAGCTGCTGAGGAGCTGAACACCACCACAGATCCTCTTCTTCTACAGCTGTCCCCAGCTCTCCACCCAACCACAACCTTACTACACTGAACAAAATATAAACACTTTTGTTTTTGCTCCTATTTTTCATGAGGTGAACTCAAAGATCTAAAACATTTTCTATATACACAAAATAACCATTTCTCTCAAATATGTTCACAAATCTGCAAAAAATCTGTGATAGTGAGCACTTCTCCTTTCCCGAGATAATCCATCCCACCTCACAGGTGTGGCATATCAAGATGCTGATTAGACAGCATGATTATTGCACAGGTGTGCCTTAGGCTGGCCAAAATAAAAGGCCACTCTGAAACGTGCAGTTTTGCTTTATTGGGGGGGTCCGAAAACCAGGCAGTATCTGGTGTGAGGGGTAGGATTAGGATTAGGGTTAGGGTAATGTTGTGAATCGAGTGGCCCATGGTGGTGGTGGGGTTATGGTATGGGCAGGCATATGTTATGGACGACGAACACAGGCCACTCGATTCACAACATTACCCTAACCCTCACACCAGATACTGGATAAATGGTTATTTTGTGTAGAAAATGTTTTAGATCGTTGAGTTCATCTCATGAAAAATGGGAGCAAAAACAAAAGTGTTGCGTTTATATTTTTGTTCAGTGTAGTTTGGCCATCTTATATTTGTGTATGAACTAGGCATATGGAGACATTTGATTAAAAGGTTATACAATGGTGGTGTTGTGCAGCAGAGGGAGCTGAATGCTGCGCTGACGAGACAGATGTGAAGCATATTGAAGGTTTCTCATTTCTCTAATTCCCCTCCTCAACTCCTATCCTCGTGTCTTAGTCCCGCCCACAGGAGATGTGAGCGGAGGAGTCGAGGAGGGGAGACGAGGAGAGAGGAGTGGAAGCAGCAGAAGGTTAGAGAAATGAGAACTCCTCTCCTCTGAGCGGTCATTTTAAAGAGACGTCCATTAATGATGACAGGAGGCACAGCAGCCCTCTGTCTGATGGACAGATGTGTTCATGACCAGGAGGAAGCACCACAGGGGCCGAGGAGGGTGGTACCGCAGGCGAGGGCCGGGCAACGGAACGGGCCGTCGTAAGGGGGCCGCAGGAGAGGGTAGGGGCCCTAACAAGGGCGAGGGCATCTCCACCGGGGGGCAGGCCAAGGAACGGGCCGTCGTAAGGGCAGGCATTGTGGCGAACGAAGAAAACATCCGCCAGCCGCAGAAAGCTGGTTCGCTGTGCTGCGACGTGGGGACGGGTGTGAATATCCCGGTGGTCCCCAGCAGGGAGGAGCGCTGCCCGGTCGCAGGCGAGCGTGCAGCAGCGGCGGGCACGAAGTCCTCGGGAGGAAGGAGCGGTATCCCTGGCAGGAGCAGTCTCCCTGGGAGGAAGGAGCCTTGGACAGGGGAGAGGCGAGGCGGGGTCCAGAAGTGCGCCACCCAGGCGCTCTGATGACAGCGTGGGCGACGTCCGGAGCCGCCGTAGAGGCGAACCGTGAGCCGCGGTTAGAGGAGAGGCCAGGCAAGGTCCAGAAGTGCGCCACCCATGGGCGATGAAGGCGTGGGTCACGTCGAAGCTGTTGGCGAGGGAAGAGGCCAGACAGGGTCCCGAAGCGCGCCACCCTGATGAAAGCATGGGCGAAGTCGGCGAAGTCCGAAACTGTCGAGGCGAGACGGGGTCCAGAAGTGCGCCACCACCCAGGCGCCGATGAAAACCGTGGGGCGGACGCCGAAACCGCCGTCGAGGTGGTGAAAAGCGAGGAGAGTGTCCACACGAGGTCAACCGTCTGATCGAACCTCCTCTCAAGCACCGGAAAAAGCTCAAAAGGGTCGTCCTGTCCACGACCAAAAACAGGTGGCGAAATTGTGAGAGGATCCACACGAGGGTCAACCAAAAGGGTTAACAGTCAGATGTTAACAACGTCGTTAGCCGTTAGCTGTTAGTCGTTCGGTAGCTGCTAGCTGTTAGCCGTCGTTGTTAGCCGTCAGCTGTTAGCCGTTGTTAGCCGGTAGCTGTCGTTGTTAGCCATCAGTTGTAGTTGTTAGCCGTTAGCTGTTAGCCGTTGTTAGTCGTTAGCTGTCAGCTGATAGCCGTTATTCGATGTTGTCGGCCCTGGAGTCTCTGCCAGGCGGCGTGCCTCTACCAGGAAAGGTGCCGCTGCGTGTAGTGGCCAGCACCTCAGGGGTAAATCGCCGGGCGGCCAGGAAGAACCGGTCAGCTTCTTCGGCTAAAGCGCGGGGCTCCACACTAGCCGTGTTGGCGAGCGCAGTCTGGACATGCGGCTGCATGTCACGAAGAAACAGTTCCATGAAAAAGAAATCGGGCTCTTCCGTACCTAACAGGTCGTGTATCGTCTCCATGTGGTCGAAAGGCTTGCTGTCTCCCAGTGCCGAAACGATGTGGGAATGGCGAGCATGGATATCAGAGGCGGATTTAGGATTGGGGGGGGGGTGCAGGGGTACAGTGCTATTTTTTATATGTGGGGGGTGGACCAAACATCCTTTAAGGGGGTCGTCGCCTCCTCTCGGGGGGTCCGGGGGCATGCTCCCCCGGGAAGATTTTTTTTTAAATATTGAAGTTGAAAGCATCAATCTGGTGCACTTTGAGAGCAACATTAACCCTACCTTAATAACACCTTAAAGCGGACAAAAGGCACTGGAAAACACTCATTAACACCCTTTAATGAAGCAAACTAATGCCTTAACTCACTCAAATAGTCGTTTACTTATTAAGGTGAAACGAATGTGCGTAGAGTTTTAAAGGATGCGGATAGTCTCACCTTGATTCTGGCGCATTGCTTATCGTTTTATAGATCTATTCTCATCCACCATCTTTGTTTGTGACGTAAAGAGTGTAACGGCCCGTCCACACTGCGGCGTGCGTTGACGCTTGCCGGCGGGCGTGTCTGACACTCGACCAACAACCAATCACATGAATCTCCCGCCCCTGACACACAAGCAGCGGTTTGATTGGCTAGAGCTTGTACTGGCATATGATTCGATTGGCTGACGCTTCTGCCGAGGCGTCAAAAGTTGAGCATTGCTCAACTTTTGCAGCGAGCCACGCCAGCAACGCTCCGCGTCGCTTCCCACGATGCAGTTCAGCTAAAAGTGACGTCACCCCATTCAAAGTGAATGGGCAGAAGCGTTGGAAGCTTCAACGCACGCCGCTGTGTGGACGGGCCGTAAGGGTCACGTTTCTGAATCGGACACTCTGAGTGGATGCAGTCACAGCCAATCGGAGTCTGATTCAGAGGGTTGCCTGTCAGTTCTGTTGTTATGTGTACTGAAACGAGAGTCGGTATAATTACACGCGTGAAAACAAAATAAAAATTGGAATACGTTATTTTAGTGTCTTGAAAGTAGACTGAGTTATGAAGGGTTAACGTTACATCTTAGGATAATTTTTAGTCATGTTCTGTATACATACTAACATAAGGGTATACTTAGTGTGGTTACTCCATGTTTACTAGCTATAACATTAACGTTACATCGCTCTTTTTCACTTCTTACTCAGTCAGCCAGAGATATCACCATTAGATTCACAAACCTGAAACATCATCCATTTCTTGACTGCTGGTGATGACATTGTTGTCAGCTGCTGATACTGCTGCTGCTGCAGCTTGTGGCCTGCTTCGATGACGATAACTTTCTAATATCCATAACTGTATAGGCTATTAGCTTAAAACTCGTCAGGCACTAGGAAGGATCACTTCTTCTTCAGGGCAGGCTACGCAGTACGCAGGCTAATGTCCCACAGTGGTTGCCTCTCTGGTGGACTCCGGTACTGCACATTACTCCCGAGACGTTTTTTAAAAAAAAATGTTTTTAAAAATAATTTAAATTTTTTTTTTAAGTGAAACATCCGGGGCTTTTCAGAAAACATCCGGGGCTTGAGCCCAAGTAGCCACCCCCTAGCGCCGCCACTGATGGATATGTAGCACATTTTAAATATACTTAATGACTGACTGAATGGAAATGACAATAAATGAAAATGTAAAACGAAAAAGCGATCATGACAATGTATCCAATAATGAATAAAATATTTTTTGACCACTTGTTGTTCAGATATATCACATATTTGTAAACTAAATGATACATTAATTTAAACAAAACACAGTATAAACTGAGGAGTGACTCTCGTGAGTTTCATGTGTTTTCTTCACTCCGTTGGGAAACTGCTCTCATGTCAAGAAGCAACAGATCAGTGCATGCGCTGCATCGTCCAATCAGTGAGCGATACACAGTAAGGGGGGCGGGGCGAGTGTCTGAGGATTTCACCGGAGGATGGTCTGGTAGTTCCTCGATTATCGCTCCTCCGTTATCACTCCTCGATCCTCCGGCACAAATAAGGCCATCGGGACGCTACTCAAGATGGCGCAGACAAATCAACTTCCGATGAAACCGAGACCGAGGAGCGAGGAAAATAAAAATAACCGAAGTGAGACGCAGCCTTGCTCTGGAGGCTTGACTGCATGAGACGTTGAAATCTCGCGGGACAAAGAAGCCAGCAGCCTTGAGAGCGAGGCGGAGCAGTTTCTCTCCACGGGCTGCGGAAGCGAAATGCTTGATGGGAAACGACTCGCTGGTATCTCGAGCTGAGCGCTCATTGGTGGTTTTTACCCCGTGCTGCTGATGAAACTCTCCAATTGGCTCGGCAAAAGTTTTTTGTTGTTTTGTGTCAGTTTTACGTCGCCACATCCATTCCCATTTGTCATCATTGTTCCACAATGTTTATCATCATGAAATTAATATCTATATATGTTATACTATACTTGCACTGTTTACCGTTTTAATACTTTATATATCTTAGCATATTCATACACACTGTTCATACTGCTCTCAGGCTGCTGTGTATATCTAGTGTATTCATACCCCTCACTGTTTATTCATCATTCAAATTAATTCTATATTTTATTCTGTA